CCAAAAAAAGGTATTTGCTCACCGGAAGCTCCTGGCTCAAGCCCATATCCATTCATACTATAGTACTAAAATATCGATACTTAGACATAAGAAAAAGGTATAAATATGGATAAAAGAAAGAACCGTTTTGAAATAATACAAGTTTTACTCTCTCCTATAAAATTGAGGCAACCTCACGTACGAGGTTTAGCATTTTCTTGATATGCGGTTTTGTACTTTAAACGACGTTATGTAAGTGTGTACGTGTGTACAAGTAAGAGCAAGGTCAAAATTGTAACTTTTGCAGCGTTTTTGCTACATTTAAAATGCAACATTTAGGGCCGTTTTCCGAAGTACCCTTTAAGTTTCAAGTTCACTTTATTTTTAAATGTTGGATTAAAAGTAAAGTTATGTGTAAAGTTAAACATTCCTATTATCGGTTTATGACGTATGTATGTTTCTTGGTTGTAAACCAATTTACAACGAATAATAAAATGCACAATCATAAATTTTAATGCAACCTTTAAATATAGAGTGAGCTTTAAAGTTACAAGTCACTTGAGAAATCGGCTCTAAGTATTTGGAACATATTTTTTTCGAGAGCGTTCATGCTATCGCATTTAACAAATGTACATTTACGCGCGTTCAAAGTCGTATACTATTGATAAACTGCCGCGTTCCAGCTTCTTACTTAAATCCATATCTATCACAATCAATTCGCACGGGGAAGAAAACATGCTAAAAAAACTTACTAGAAAAGGAAAAAACAAATTTTAAACAAAAAATATAATACAACAACTTGAACTGTTTTAGCCAGGGCTTCGGAGCGGAGCGGAGCAAGGGAGCTAAGGAGCAAAGGATTTCAGCTGGAGTGGAGCTGAAAAATTTCATTTGCTCCTTAGCTCCTTAAAGAAAAACGATTTTTTTTGCAATATTTTTATTATTGTTTTTACACAAAAATTTTCAATAATAACGTCCTCAAGCTCAATAAAAATTAAAAAAAAAATCAGTTAATAAATTAATTTTTTTTTTCTTGTAATTTAAAGTTACTTCCTAATTAAATAAATTTACCTAAATTATAATTTTTATGTCACTGAAAATAACCGCGTTATATAAATTTCCCTATTTAAGTTGGAAATTTTTTAATATTTCCTCTGGATGCAGAAGTGTTCCTAGAGCATCTAGATGTATTTCTGCATCAAAAAGAAAATTAAAAAAAAAATGTCGCGTACATTTTTTCGGTGGTTAGTGCTCAATATGTAAATAAATAAATAAAAAAGATTTTTATTGGAAGCAAGAGCGGAGCTTGGAGCGAAATAAAATACCGGAGTGGAGCGAAGAAAAAAAACCTTCGCTTCGAAGCCCTGGTGTTAACCATAACCAAAATTAATTATGAGACAAAACAAACCGAGTGGATCACAAATCGAGCCATATTTTCAGTGTTGCCAATTTGGTGCTTTTGGAGCTCGATTTAGCTCTTTATTTTTCTATTTAGCTCCGAAAATTGGGCTTTAGCTCCTAGCTCTTCTTTTAGCTCTTTTCAAAATTATCTACCACTTTTTAGCTTCAGAATGTTTTAGTTGTATTTGGTATTTGGCTTTGGTGATCTCAGGTTATTTTCGATACCTCCATGTTATTCTATTTCGATTAGTACTTAGAAAAGTTCCATTCCTAATGCAAATAACCCGTAAGTAAATGGAAAATAGGCAAGTAGGTCGAATAGTTTCAACAACGTACGCGGGAGCACACAAACTGTACCGGACAGTGATTCGAGCTCCGATAAGCTCAGATATTTTCTCTCAGGCGGCCACGGAAGAAAATCGTTCCTCTGAATGCGCGTATTTTGTTTTTACTTTACTAATTTTACCTTAAGGAGAGAAAAATATAAGACTTCAGAAAAATTTTGCGAAAAAATTATTGTAACCCGAGTTTTTATGGTCAATTAAAATATCTGAAATTGCAGAGTTTAACAGTTTGTAAAGTATTTTTAGTTTTTTGTCTAGTTCATATAAGTATATGCATACATATAAGTGCTATAAGTGCCGTAGCAATGAACTGGATACCGAAAAAGCGGTCGAAGAATTGAAAATTGCATTGCCCCAACTCAACTGGAGTTTGGGGTATAAAATAATGGGAGTGCCCGACATACATTCTGAAACGACTTTAAAAATAGTAGCAGACCGAAAAATGCATAACGCCATGGTGCGACTGCATGTGATGAAATTACCTAAAGAGGAGATTTTACAAATGAAGATTGGGTAAGAGAGTTAAGAGAAATAATCAGAAGGATTTTCTATAGTGCTTTGAAATACAAAGCAATGTTTTTTTGGATTTTTAATCAGCTATAGTACTTTCAAGGAAATTTTTATTTTAAACAAACGTACATATTTTTCTCGCGAAATAAATTTTACAACATTTTACGTCATATTGGATACGCCATTTCGAATTTTAAAAATTTAAGCTCAGACTCATAATCGGTAACCCCAAAACCCCCCTAGTAACAAGCTTCGAGCAAACTCAATAGATTTTTAAAAACTTTTCCGTCATTTTTTATTTAAAAAAAACGTCACTAATTCATTTTCTTAGCTGAACCAATTTTGGAGTAAGGTGTAAAATTCCAAATGATATTGTTTGCATTTTATATTTATTTATTTATCTTTAATAATTTTCATTTAAAATATGCTATAGTTCTACTCATACAGAAACCATATAAATAAGTGTTTCAAATCTTACACAAAGTTAAAAAACATAATAAAGCTTTTATAAACCTTCATCAACATTTTTATTTAATTTTTTTTTTTAATTTTCAAGTTTGCAATTTGGGATACAAAAAAACAAATCACTTTAAGTACCGAAAAGTACAAGTGTCCTTTCGCCAAAAATTACCACTGATTTTTTAGATTACTCATGAACAAAATTTATTTCTATATGGAAGGAATATGCTCAACACCTTCGACAAAAAAAAAATTAAAAATCAATGGTAACTTTTAGCGACATGTTATGCTTAAATTGAATGTGCTACAAAACGGCAAACTCGAAAATATTCTAAAAATTTTATACATACAAAAATTTTAAATTTTGATAAAAAATTTTTGAAATTTTATTAATTTCATAGTGCAACACTCAAAAAGTGATATGAATGAGAACAATTGCATTCATTAACAGAGGTCAAAATATGAATAAATACCAAAGCATTTTTAAAAGTTGGTTCTCATTTCTTTTTTACATCGATTGAAGTCGTGAATTTAGGGTTCGAAAATAAACAAAAGCAATGATTTTTTTTGTTTTACCCACAAATTGCGTACCTACATACATTTATATAAATAATAAAAATTATAAACTCCTCCCATCCCCTCCCATTCCCGCTCCGATAACTTTAGAAAATGTATTTTTATTTTTTTTTTTTCAAGAAATTACGAAATTACAAATTGAGATAAAAAAGAAATGGCAACATTTTCAAATCCTTTGGTACTTTTTCATTATTTGACCAGCTTAATCAAATGCTGTTCGCCCGACTTTGACCATCACCTCCAACTTTTTGAAATTTGTTGCACTGAGTTTTTGTTAATTCTGTGTAAGCGTTGAAACTTTTATCTGTTATGGATCGAACCTTGAGAAAAAAGTAGGTAGTTTCAATAAACAACTTGTTGACGGATACTGGGATTTTTGGAACTTCATAATTTGTTCACGTTGATAGCAGCGTTACCATATTGATAATATTTAAAAATAAATTAGGGAATTTCTTTCACAGTTAATGCGTGTAAATATTTTAGGCTTCGTAGACGAAACCAAACAAGTCTAGTACATGATATACATACATATGTATTGAAAATAAAAAGAATGCAATTTTACTTCGATATACAATGGATAATGGCATATGTAGTTATGTTTATGGTATTTGTTCACCAATACCACAAAACTGAAAATTACTATATGTGTACATATGTATGTTGCGTTAACATTAAATTTTTTTATTTAATAAATTCAACAAACCCATCATTTTTCTCATCTTCGTATTTAGTTTTTTTTCTATTTTTCTAACTTTAGATTTAAATATCGAACTCACAAAAGAAAGCGCTGAAAATTCAAGAAAATTGTGTCCTTGCAGTGATATTTTCCATTTTTTGTAGCTTTCAAATGCGCAACTCATTTAGCTTTTTATTATTTAAAAAAAAAATATAAAAAAAAAAATATTTTATAAAAATAAATAAATAATAATAATAAATGTAGCTCACTCCCCGAGGGATTCGATTACTGCCCACTAACGATAGAAGATGCTGCTACCGTAAATGCTAATTGGCATTCGCGCCAAAACGGTTCCTTGGAATACATAAAACGGCTCATTACTTACAATCACAATATTGGAATTTATTTGAAATCAACTGGTGAATTAATCGCTTGGTGTATAAGGTTAGTTTACTTACTTTTTTACGTTGAATTCACTTTACATATGTATGTATGTAATTTAATAATTTCTATCTCTTTATTATCCGTTAGATGCAACATGGGCTTGCTGGGCATGTTGCACGTAAAAGAGGCTTATCGTCGACGTGGTCTTGCTGCAGCAACTGTACAAAAGTTATCACAACAAATTGCCGAAGCGGGCTACGATGTGTGTACAATGGTATATGAAAAAAAATTTGCGTCACTAGAACTATTTAGAAACCTTAAATTCAATGAAATCGGCATTACATATATTTTTTGGCCAACACGCTATAAAGATGGCGAAATTTGGTCTGAAGAGCAGGAAACCAAAGAAAATTGAAATAAAGGTTTCGAAGAGATGTATTTCGATTAAATTTATTTAAAGATATTTCTACATACATAATATGAACTAGTTTTTTATTTAAATTTATTATAAATATTCATACAGATAAAGTATATAAGCTAAAAAAAAGTACGCAGGTCTGAATTTATATACCTAACTTAGTTGATATGGCACTTGAGATTTAACATAAGCACACTTATTTGCATACGTGTTCTACTTGGTCTTTACTATTTGGTTTCGGTTTCGATCTCGATTTTCGTGGTTTCCTGACTGCTTGTAAACTGCATTGCTCTCAAACTGGAGTGGAGTTCTGTTGGAGTTCATGTTCGGGCGCTACGCTTGCCACGGCTCTTGCCTCATCCGTTTGCTTTGTTATCTACAAAAGTTTTTAAGGCGTTTTGAAAGAAACACAAATGTGTTAATACTACTTCTTTGTATTCTATTATTTCCCCGTTATAATGAGCGTGTAGAACCGTAGTAGCTTAAATAGCATGCACACACCAAAAAACTTCAGTGCTTAGCCTAAAAAAGCGGCATGCATTGGAAAACTGCAGTTTCAACTTCTATTCTATAGACCTTTGTTAGAAATTTTCTGAACTTAAGCATCAATAAGTAAATACCGTGCGACAAAAACAAAAAAAAATAAATAAAATAAAATAAAATAAAACGAAAGAATCGATATACTCACGCAACTATGGGCCAAATATAGTAAAACTGCGGTTTTAGGTTTTAACTCTGACGTGAGGATTTATTTCCAAAAACTTTGAAATTTTCAAGATGTGATTAATACAAAAAATTAATAAAAAAAATCAGTGCAATGTAGAATAACAGTATGGGTACCAAATGAGAGAGAAATTTCTTTAGAAGTTAAAAACAACAAAGCCTCTTGGTTTACAAACACGAGTAGGTATTGAACATGTGCTTTTATTAAATTTTATCTTTTTTAGTTAATAAAGTTTGCAGTACTAAATTCGATGGAGCCTCGTACATATATTAGTGCTCAAACAATAGTAAAAAAAAATATTGCAAATTTTCAAGGATATTTAAAGAAAATTTTTTTAAGAACAATCTCCATACCCCTTCGTCCTTATGTACCAAAAAATTTATTCTGTTATAATTCTACAGAATTTTTTCTTTTACATGATACCCTTATTGTCATTCTACATTGCACTGAATTTTTGAAATAATATTTTTTTTAATAATCATATTTTTTAATTTCAAAGTCCTTTCAAAAAAAATCCTGACGCGTCAGCGAGATAAATTATGTACGTAGATTTACTATAATTTACCCATAGTTTTGCGAATATACTCATTTTTTTGTGTGTGAAATTTACTGTCGCACGGTGTTAGTGGTACAATTCATAACCGAAAAATATCCTAGTTCAAGCGAAGTATTGCATCAGCACTTTCACATTCACTGAAATCCACGTAAATACATATCGCATACGATTTAAAAAAGTGTCACAACTCAATATTTGACATTTCTGAAATTATGTACTAAAAATGTGAACAGAGCTCTTATTTACTATTTATTTTTATAATCTTTGTTATAATATGTTGAAAAAACCTAAAGTAAAGTCTCCCTTGCCCATGTGATTATCATGTGCTTAGAAAAAGTTGTTTCTAATTTTCTTACGAACATGTAATTTTGAGTTGCGGTACCTTTGAAGATCGTGTGCGATATGTATTTTAATCTAAATCAAAACCTGGGAAACGTCCTTGACACCGTTGACGCCAATTGGAAATAGCAAGCGAAGCCAAGTTCTTCTCCACCTTAACTTTCCGTCTTGCTCTGTCACCACAAGGGCTGGAACATTTGTGTTCATTCGTACAATATTGCCGAGCCTGCTGAGCCGCTGTATTTAATTTCTCTTCGGCATACAGCACTAGTTATTATAGTATGCGATTTATTTCTGCTGCTCTGAGAGCCGTTTTTTGGACTGCCTGCTAAAAATTTACGGGCGGTATGATTTATCGAATTTTTATCGATTGCCTATTATAAGCATGTGAGCGACAAATTTTACAGACAGCTAAAGCAATGGTTATCTTTAACAGGAAGTCTAGAAAATTACCCTTATCATCTACATCAAATTAAATAAATCAAACGATAGGCACTCGCTCTGTGTGAAACCTTTTTGGCATCAAACAGCTCGGAGAGTTACTTCATAATTCTGACGGTCGTGGCGGTATTCCTCAATGTCAGTTTACACAGCTTAGTCTCGCGGGGATACGAATTAAAACGTATCGAGTTGTCTACAATTTATGTTCGTGTTGTAGAAAGCGGCATTTCCATCGCAATTCTTCTTCTTGAAGATATTTTCCAAGATTTAGCGTAAGGTGAATACTTGGTATATTTTTCATGTCTAAAGCTAAGCAGTTTGTTTATGGTAGTCTTCAACAGTGTGACCAAAGGATCACAATTAAGCTAAATTTACTAAAAAAAAAGGTTAGAAAAAGTTAGAGGAAACGAAAAAATAAGCTAAAAAAGTCAGCCCTTTGATGTCGAAAAATTTAGCAGCACCTCTGGTAAGTTGCACATGTTTTGCCATAAGAAATTAACATTGTTATGGCTCTTGGTTTGCGTCGTCCTTATGCTCCGACAGACCGCGGTCGCAAGTGAACAAGGTTTTGAAAAAACTCGCTTTGATGCTGGGATTGTATCGACACGCTCGTCTAACAGGATGAACAACAGTACAAACAACAAAGCATATTGGCTGCCACTTCAGATCCGTTAACAAATGTACTCTTAAGTAAACACTCTTCTCGTCGTTTGTCAATGGATTGGATTGCAAGGCAATTAATCAAGAAATTTTCGCCATGGACTTCATACAGGAGGAAAAATTACTACCACTGCTCAATTATCTTTCTAGCGTTCTATCCTTCAAACCGCAACAATCACAGTTACACATTTAAAAATTTATAAAACAGAAGTAAAGGAGTACATGCGTAATAGTGCATAAAAAATTGGTGGTCAAACTAATTTTAATTAACACATATTTTAATAAAAAACATTCCCACAAATTCATTTCTATGTTTTTATTTTATTTAATTAATTTACTCAAAACATAAGTAAATATTTGGCATACATTAAGCTTTATTTACTCATTTAAAAAAAAAAATAAAATAAAAATAAATAAATACCTGTAAAAATGCCCCTATAGTTTAAGCAAATAAATAACTTCTAATTTATGATCGTAATTAAATTTCCAAGTGAAACATTAGCGCGACGCATGCAACATTAAATAATGATAAACTATTATGGTGGTTGCGTATTTAATGCAACACTACACGTGAATTCATATGCATAGAAACAAATAGACAAATTACATAGTAGCACACACATACCAGACAGACAAATAAAACATAATAAAGTGACAGTTAAAATAATGAATAGTGCAACATTTCATACTCCACCTTACCCAACTGTTGCCTAAAATGCAGCTTTAAGCTCCATCCAGTTAGCTTAGTAGCCTAATACGCATTCATTAATAATGTATGTATGTATGCATGTATTTAAACCAAAATTAAATCTCGCAATTTTGCAGCACTTGCATGCAAATATCGCATAGCTTCCCAGCAAAAATTTCATGACCAGGTGGTCTACTGTAGGGCTGCCAGACGTCCTGGTGTTCCAGGATTATTCCTGATTCAGGAAAATTGTTCTGGTGTCCTGGACAACACTTAAATTGTCCTGGTTTTTTAATGAAGGTATATTTTGGTAAACTCTTCCTTTTTCATCTTTAGACAAATGTCAAAAAGTGCAAGTTCCTGTACAGGTACACGGCTGAGGGGTTATACATACTACGCAGTAAATAATTTCAGTTACTAAAATCTCTGTCAAAAGGCTTTACTGAAAGTCATTTCTTTCTCCTCCCTTTTTGTGTGGAGTCGCACAAATGCTTTCGCTACCCAAAGAAGAGCTTCCAGAAGAGCTTTTGTCGAACGTTCTTCAGGAGGCCTTTTGGAGAAGTTCTTTGAAAGCTGTTCTTTTCATTAAAAAAATGCATACTTCTTTAAGAAATTCGTTAAAGGTTCGTATCAAATATATATGTTGTATTGAGACGTAAAATTTTATTTGTTATGATATATTATACCAGGGACGGAAATTTTAACCAAAAAAATCAGCAAGTTGTAAAAAAAGGTGCCAAAATGAACTCGAAGCGCATTACAAAATATTTGGAAATTTGCTAATGGTGGTAAGGCAAGCATTCAAGGCCATGATAAAACATTCACCATGCTGAACATTTCTCCATGTTACGTCACAGTCAAGAGAAATGTGTTCTTGTATGCTAAAAATAAATTCAAATTTTGAGAGTTTCTTACAACACATCATCATCAAGCATTCAGCTCTACGGATTAGGGCTGCGACATCGACATCGATTTTTGTAAATAATCGATGGTTTGAGACAAAATCCAATGCTCAAAACATCGATCTTGTTCCTCGATACTTGGATAAAGTGGCTTTATTCGTTTGTGGTTGAGTGGTCAGAGGTGTGACCTACCACTACGTAGGACCTTGTATTGATCCCCGGTCCGAGCAACATCTAAATTAGAAAAAGTTATTTCGTGGCGAACCACGGAGTGTATTTCTGCCATAAAAAAGTTTCTCATAAAATCCATTAGCTGTTTGGTGACAGCATAAAACTGTAAGTCCTTCCATTTTGTGTAACAACATCTAGAGGCACTGCACAAATTAGAGGAGCAGCTCGGCCAAGCACTTAGCAAAAGTGTAGGAACCCAAACATTAAATTTATTAGGTTAGTTGACCTAACACTTCAAAACAATTTATTTTGGCTACTTATTCCTGGTCTCGAAATCTTTACTTCAGAATAATGCAACGCTAGAGTCAAAACAACTGTACTTATAGGAATATATTGACACCATATTCACCTGTATCTTAGTCATCAATATGGATAATAGTTACGTGTCCGGGTCGATGGGCTCAGGTTTACGGCAGCCCTAGTCTACTAGGATATAGTTTTAAAGTATGTGCAAAAGGTTAGGTTACATACTAGTCGGGTCTAATGGCATCACAATATTAATGTAACCATTTTTCCCCAAATATTTTTTACCAAGTTGGTTACTAATGTTGGTTACAAGGTATCGTGGTCCTGTGTTAGTATTTAATCTAGTCACACTTTTTGCCGAGAAGCGTGCTATAAAATACTCAAATCAATTGGGCCATTCGACTCAACTCTTGGTGCTTCTTGGCACTACGACTCATTTCGGTATAATTTTGAATGGCTCAATGAGATTTTCGCTCACCGTCATCAAAATAGGCACAACTCCAAATTTGGCATTTTCGTAATTATGCAATAAAAATGTACACTAAAGAGCGTGTCAGACATGGCAATATATTTCGATGCAATAAATTTC